GAGAGACAGAGAGACAGAGAGACAGAGAGACAGAGAGACAGAGAGACATCCTTAACACACCCCAAATAGATGTGGAGAAGAGAAGGACTTACAAATATGATCCCAGTTTTGTCACTGCCGTTTGCTGCTCCCCTTGTTTAGATGGGATTAACTCTCCCATCTCTGTCCATACAGATGGGAGGGGGCCTCAAGTTACTGATGTTCCCTGGTGCAGTCCGTGTGTCGACTATCAATTGGGTTTTCCCAGTTGCATGGTCAGGGAAAACCAGGGGATTGGCACAGGCCTGCAACTTAAAATGTTGACTAGCCAGGCAGTCTGCACATTTAAAACTGGAGCTCTCTTTTGTCCAAGAGACAATAGAGTAAAAGTAGACACGCCTGTGTGGCCTCTGGCTGTTGTAGGCAGCACACTTGTTACAATGTCATGTCCTTGCTCTGACGGGAGCTGGTGTCTCTACAGAGGCCAGCAGAGCATCCTGTTTACCTCCTAGCTGCCTGCTGTTCTGCAGGGGGGAGAGAGAGAGAGGGAGAGGGAGGGAGAGAGAGGGAGAGAGGGAGGGAGAGAGGGAGAACACGACATTAAAAAAAGACAGACAGTGACAGAAGACACGCACAGACAGAGACAGAGACAGAGAGAGAGCGGCAGAAGAGAGACAGAGACAGAGACAAAAAGACACACACACAAATCTGTTTCCTTGTCAGTAAACCCTGTGGTGTGCCCTCCTGCAAGAGTTGGGATGGCTCAGTGAGACAGAGATTCTCCTTCAAATCAGGATGTTGTGGGTTTGAACATAGAACATAACAGCGCAGTACAGGCCCTTCGGCCCTCCGGCCCTCGATGTTGCACCGACCTGTCCCACACCCAAGACATACATGTAACCCATGTGGGCACCCACCTGGGGGCAGTACCAAGGGAGTGCTGCGCTGTCAGAGGTGCGCTGCTGGGCCAAGGGACCCGCCCACCCCCACCTTGTGTCATCAGACCTCCCACGGGCCACGCGCCTGTGCCACAGTGAGATGGGGACCATGCATCAGTGGGAGCGCTGGAGAAATTCTGAGGGGGGGGAAAAAAAAGTGACCCCACCACATACCCCGGATTCAACCCAATGGCCTAGAGCCAGCTCCACAAGCAAAAACCCCCTGCTGATCAAATGAAAACACACCAATCATGACTAGGAAGGGTCACCGGACCCGAAATGTTAACTCCCGTTTTTTCCTTCACAGATGCTGCCGGACCTGCTGAGCTTTTCCAGCAACTTCTGTTTTTGTAACCATGACTAGGGTCTGACCAGATGCCCAAAAACTACTGTGCTTCAGCAACCACGACCACCCCCCACCCAAACCCACTCCCCTAGGTCCTGCTTCTCCAACTCTCCAAACAACCAGTGTACCAGGGACCGCACACTCAGACATGACTGACTGGCAGGAGCTAGTGTTCCAGGGATTCGGAAAAGTGACCTGGTGTTGCAGTCTCCCTTTTTTTTTATAAATTCATTCCCGGATGAGGGTGTCGCTGGCTAGGCAGCATTTATGGCCCATCCCTAATTGCCCAGAGGGCAGTTAAGAGTCAACCACATTGGCTGTGGGTCTGGAGTCACGTGTAGGCCAGACCAGGTAAGTTTGGCAGTTTCCTTCCCTAAAGGGCATTAGTGAACCAGGCGGGTTTTTCCGACAACGGGTTCACGGTCATCACTAGGTATTGTGCCGAATTCACATTCCAAGGTTCAGCCAGAGGAAAGCCCAGAGCTGACGAGTCATGTTTGTTTTAAAATCCTGTCATGGGACGTGAGTGTCACCAGGCTGGAACCTGTTTATGAACCCTCCAGCCCAGTGATTCAGTGGTTAGCATTGCTGCCTCACGGTGCTGGGGAGCCAGGTTCAATTTTTACCATCTGGCAACTGTGCACAGTTTGCACATTCTCTCCCCGTGTCTGCGCGGGTTTCCTCCGGGTGCTCCGGTTTCCTCTCACAGTCCAAAGATATGCAGGTTAGGGTGGATTGGCTGCGCTGTAGTGCCCAGGGAGTGGGTCTCGTTCAAACTTAAGAGAATTGCCAGTGACAGCAACGAACGAGAGGATAGGCGAGATCAGCGTGCAGACTGCCTGCTGCGTCTCTGACCCTACACTCAGCACCTCACGGGCTGGAAAAGGAGGTGGGGGCAAAATCATTACTGCTGTGAGTGAACGCAAACATGGTGATTCCTGACTTCACTTACACTACGCTGCTTGAACCTTTAAAAAGGTTACCCCCCCCTCCCAGATTCTGGATTCCCCAAAGAAAATAACCACCCCACCCACCCACCCCAATTAAATTAGCACCTTAGATAACAAGGTGTAGAGCTGGATGAACAGAGCAG